CGCTGCCCGATGCCCCAGGCCTGGCGCAGGGACACCATGTGCCTGACTTGGGGGTGAGCACGTGACCCGGGGCAAGCCCACAAGATGTGAGTCTGGGACTTCTGCTGAAATCATTGGGAAAGAAACAACTCTTCTTACTGGAGTTTCTAAACTGGGAGAGTGCAGACCTGCAGCTGTGAGAGGCCATCTGTGCCACCACATGGGGACAGCCTGCCCCGGAGTGAAGCTGACAGGAAATCAGAGCCAAGATGCAGAGGGGGGAATATTTTTAAAGATCTCATTAGAGCCTCTGGATTCAGCCATGCCTGAACACAGCGCACTGCAGTTTTGTTCAGTGATATGAACAAGCAAAAGTTGGGTTTCCACCACAGGAGTCCTAAGCATTGCACTTACCAGTTACCAGGGCCAGGTACCGTGCCGGGCAGTCGGAATGCTACCACCACAAAGATGTGGGCCTGATCCTAAAAAAGTTCATGCTCCATCTTTACATTTTAAATAAATATTGTATGGAGATGTAGTTTCCATACTATAACATTCTACCATTTACAGTGTACAACTCCATGGTTTTCCATGCACAGAATTATGCAACCATTCTACTATCATTTTCTATCCGGCATGGAAAACGAAGACTTCATTCTTACCCTGTGTGTGGACTGTACCTTCCTGCAGCACCAGTAACTCCACAGGTGCTCAGCAGAGCGGTACTCAGCCTCCTGAGGAGGCTCAGCCTGGTGAGTAATAGGTATCTGGCAAAGCCACTCATGGAAAAAAAACCCTGCTCATCAATCACTGGGTTTTCACGGGATCTTCTAACCTGGATCCTGTATTAGGGTACTGCTCCTGGGAGCTGCACATCTGGGCTGTGCACCTTTGGTTCCCTGGATTTTCCTTTAGTTTATTGCAAAATGCTTTAAAACAGCAACAAGTGGGAAAACACAAATCCATCAAGAGTGGAATGATTCAATACTTAAGTGCCCATACGATAGAACTGTACCCAGCCACTAAGAACCATCTTGACAAGAAGGACTGAGGACAAGGGGAGATACCCATTATATTTTGTTAATTGAATGAAACAAGATCTTAAAATGCACATAGTATAATATCTCAAGTACATAACATAGTAAATTTGGGCCACTGGAAGGAAATAATGTTACTTATTAGGCATAATTATTTTAGAGTAAGTGATTATGGGAAATTTTTTCTTTATGCTTTTCTACTATTCCAACTTTTCTAAAATGAACATTAATTCAATCAGAACCACCAACACTATTTTTTTAAAGAGAGAGAGAGAGAGAGAGAGACAGAGAGAGAGAGAATTTTTTAATATTTATTTTTCAGTTTTCGGCAGACACAACCTCTCTATTTTTATTTTATGTGGTGCTGAGGATCGAACCCAGTGCCCCTCATGCCAGGAGAGTGTGTTACCACTTGAGCCACATCCCCAGCCCTAACCAACACTATTTTTTAAATTCATTCCTTGGTCATCGGTTCATTTTATTAATGTGACTACTAAAGAATGAAAAACAACCTTATGGAGAATGTCTCTGAATCTCTTAAAATATTGTCCCTCAGATTCTTTTAACCAAACTCAAGTGATATTTTTTGACAAAGATTTTTTAAAAAGACATCATCCCCCAGAATCTTATAATCAAACATGTTAGTAATGTAATCCACCAAATTTTCCTTTTTACCTTGATTGGTAGGAAACTCAGAGCAAAAATTTAATGATCAAAATGCAATAACCAGGCTGGGTAGATATAGCTCAGTTGGTAGAGTGCTTGCCTTGCATGCACAAGGCCCTGGGTTCAATTTCCAGCAACACACACACACACACACACACACACACACACACATAAAATGCCAATAACCATTTTAGTCTTGGTTTGGTAACTTCCATGCTGTTACCTAGTTCCTGATGCTTCCTTTCATCTATATTTTCAGTGTCTTGCTTGTTTTTAGATATGCAAATCCTCCTTGGAATACATAAGCAAGCATTTGCTGAAGTGATCTGATGTTACACCAGAGAAGCAGAGGTTCTGACAGGTGATCTGTTGTGATGTTTCATTTTGACAAGCCCGGGGCATTGAGTGGGACCTTGAAAGTTCTATCGTTTTTCTAATTACACTAGAGGGTCACCCTGGATAAATACATATGGGAGGCTCCTATATAGAGATAGGCTCTCCCCAGTGACCAGATTAACCCATTCCTTCTAAATGTCATCTTACAGGCCATATGGACCAAAGTCCATCCTGGCTGCCTATTGTCACCGGCCAGTGACTGACAGCAAATATCTGCAAAGCCAGTTGAAATACAGTCATCACATTCAACCTCTGCTTGAGTCTTCAGACAGTAAGTGGCACAGCCAGCAAGCAATTAGGTGGCACTCACAGTCCAGAAACACAGCTCCCCCCACACTCACCAAAGGCCCCAAGCACCCATCGGATGGCCCTGGATTTGCTGCATATTACCCAGACTAATCTTTCCTTCACTCTGGCTCAGAGGAGGAAAAAAAAATACCTCTACTTTAAAGATGAGGTCACAAAAAAAATTAATTATATCACATGGGCACACTCCTAAAATGTGATGCTTGGTGGCTGAAAATAATATATTTGATTGTCAGCTAGAATTACTTTTTTTCTAGCGTTAACTTCACTGACTCTCCACACCATTTCAAAAACAAACAAACAAACAAAAAAAGCACTCTTAATAATTGAGTTGTGACCATGTTATCACAGCGAAAGCCACACACAGCTCACTTGTGAACACACACTAAATGGAAATGAAGGAAAGGAGGCAGAACCATTTACCCAGTGCTTACAGTGTGCCAGCAGAGCCCGGGGAGCTGAACCTGCCAACTCAGGTATCTTCCTGTGAGCCCCACATCACTGTCCTACAAGCGTATATAATATCCTCACTCTTTTAGATGTGGACATCTAGGCAAAAGCAATTAGGTACCTCATTCAAGGTGGGGTGTGGGGTAGTAACCAGTTTCTCAGTGTCCAACCCTGGTCCAACCTACTCCAAAGCCCTGGGTCTGGTCCATTTCAAATGGCTAGAGACTTCCCACACACACACTGTTTGCAGGAGACTGAAAATTATCTCCTGTCCTCTCCCCCACTGTTTCCTAAACATTCCCAGGAACTGAAGCGCCTCTGACTGCCTTTGGCCCCTCTCAGAAAGTGACCAAGACACACTTGAAGAATAAAATATGAAACTAAGCACCCAGGGCTTGGCTGCCACAAACAGGCTAACAGGAAATCTCTTTCATGGAAGTTTCTAAAGGGAAGAAATTGATAGTGAACACATCATGCCACTGACAATCATTGGTGACATGCAAGCAGGACTGCCCTGTCTACATATGTTTTTGTCTCCACCGAACCTGGTCTCCAGTGGTGTCCCTTCTAGAAGAATAAGTATGGAAACAGTGCCAGGACATGCCTCTGTGTGATTGCGTTTGTGTGTGCTGGACAAGTACCCCCAGAGAACTTGAAGTGCTCAGGCAAAGATGAGAATGACAGGAATGTCATTCGGAAATGATTTCACACCCGGTTAGCCCTGTACAGCAACCCAGCTTGCATCCTCCGGGACCAGAGGACGCTTCGCCTGCAGCAGCCTGCGCGCATCGCTGCCAACTGCCACTGGTTCCTTCACCTTTTATTTACCGCGCAGAATAGACTGGTTCATCAGTGAAGCGCGGAAGGTGGGGAATAAGAAACAGTGTAGATTCTGCTCTTTCCCGGGGGACACAAAAAAAAGAGCTAAGAAAGAAGGGAAGCCCAGGTTGCACCACCAGCGTGGTAGCGCCATTCTCCTCCCAAAGTGGCTGCACCTGGGCTCCAGCAGAAGCACCGAGGGGAGCTCTGGAAAGCAGGGTCAAGCCCAGCGCCTCGGCGGTGCTTGGAGCATTGGAAGAGGCACCAACCCAGAGCACCGCACAGGAAATCACTGCCCCCTTCAGGCCGCATCTCAGACGCCGCGGCCGGAGCGTAGGGGCTCCCTCAGTCTGGAAAAACTCGCAAACCCGACCTTGGGGTGCAGGTGACCGCTTCTCCAGAACCTCTCCGCGCACCCTAGCCCCCCGGTGGGCGGTGAAGGTCGGCGCTGGGGCTTCAGACAGAATTCAGGCCGAGGGCATAGGGAGGGGTCTTGGGATGGAAAGCTCCGGCTCCGCTCAGAGGAGGCCAGGAGGCGAATGAAGCCCGCTGCTGCGCTTTAAGTCCGTGCTCGGGCTATTAGAACGCTTCAAGTCTGCACCCGAGAAAGAAGCTGCGCCTGCAGCCGCCTAGTCCACACACCACTACACGTCCGGGGAGAGACCTGCCACAACACTCTAGGAGCAACTAACCCGAGGGGGTTCTCCTCATTAAACCGCCCGGGGCCACTGGCAGCGCCGGACACATCCAGGCAACAGCGCTGCGGAGCCGGCGGCCCCACACCTGCGGACGCCGTGCTGCTCCGTGCTGCTGGCGCGCGCCACACGCCCAGCTCGGCCGGTGCGCTCGGGTCCCAAGATCCCGCAGCCCCACGGACCTCAAAGCGCCTCTTGGATTTCCTGAGGGAGGGGGACGGTAAGCAGGCCCACGGCCCCTCCAGCCCCGGCTGGCCCAGTTTGCAGTCAATGTTTGCAGTCAATGCGCCTGTTCCTCTCACCCGTCTCCCATACCCCACGAGTGGCATCTGGGCAGGGGCAACCACTGCAGGCCTTTGGGGATCCACCTTCTCCACTACCTCTCTGCTCAAAGGAGACACTAGTCTTGTGTTGCCCCCCCTCCAACACACTATCTCCAGAGCTGGAGGATGCTCTGCAAATCTGGGTACCAGTTGTGCTAGCCAAACCCAGCGGGACCCGGGGTGAGCACTGAGCACCAGCCCGCGGTGCCCTCGGCAGGCGCGGGCGGGTCAGTCAAGGCTCTGGCCAAGGGCTGGAGCTTGCTTCTGTCCAACACTCCCACTCCCCGCCGTCTCTGGAGCCCCGACGGCACCAGCTGCCGGACACTCACCTCGGTGTCGTAGAGCCGCAGGTCGAGGAAGTAGGGGCGCAGGAGTGACTCGTTGCGGATCTGCTCGATGGCCAGTTCCACGGCGGGGAGCACGCCGCGCCCGATGCTGCCCTTGGCCACCTCCTTGGTGAGCGGCATGAGGCCCATGATGGAGAGCGGCGGGCTGCTGGGCGGCGGCCGGGGGGCACCCCGCGCCCAGCCCCAGGCCCCGGGCGCCAGCAGTAGCAGCAGCGGCAGCAGCAGGAGCAGCAGCGGGCGCGCGGGCGGCGGCGGCGGTGGCGGCGGCGGCGGCGGCCCGGGCTGCCCGGAGCTCCGCGGGGAAGCCATGCCGCGCCGCGGGCTGCGGGCGCCGGCTCACTCGGCCCGCATGGCCTGGCCCGGCCCGCCGCCCGGCGCCAAGCTCTCCCCGCGGCGCCCGCGCAATGGCGCCGGCTCGGGCCCCGGCTTCGGCTCGGGCTCCGACTGCTGTTCGCTCAGAACGGCCGCGGCGGCGGCTCCCGTGACGGATCAATCACGCCGAGAAGGGGTGGGAGCGAGCGGAGTGCGGGAGGCGGGGATCGAGCAAGCAAACGCCGAGAGGGGGCCGGCGTCTCGGCGCGCGCCTCTCTCCAGCGCGGCCGCCCCGCACCGGGCCGCCTCCGCCCGCCCCCGTGCGCGCTCTGAGCCGCTCTCCCGCCTTGAGCGGCTAGGCGGCAGCCCCTGGAGCCCGGCCGCGGGAGGGCGGGAGGCAGGAAACGCGGGAGGCGAAGGCGAGGCTGCACAGCGGCGGCTTGGGCCGCCTCCAGGGACGGGGACCGGCCGTGCGCGCCGGGGGAGGGGGAGGCGCTGCGGCGGCCGCGGGGAGGGCCGTCTTCCCAGCACACGCACACACGCGCCCCCGGCCCTCCGCCTCACCGGCTGCTGCTGCCCGCCGGCCGCCGGGCCCTTAGCGCCCGGGGACAGAGATGGGGGACCTGGACCGTGCTCTGTCAAATGTGGGGGCCGCTGCCGCTTGCCGAGCGCTTCCTGTAGAACCCGCAGGGTGACTGCTTCTCAGAGGTCTGGGCGAGCAGGTCTGGGCAGGCAAACGTTCCGTGAAGACGTCCTAGAGGCACCTGAAGCCTGCTCTCTCCTGTTCTGCTCTGGAGCCCAAGGCCCTGACGGAGCCCGGAGGATCACGGAAGATGCCCGCCGGCGCTCGGGAAAGCCTCTTGGTACTAGGTCTCCTATCCTTTGAGTCTTGGCTGAGGACACCCTTCTCCTCACCTGACGCAGTAGCCGCCCTTTGCCGACCCCAGCCGAGGGTTGGGATCCGAACCTTGCGTGCGGCTACCGCCCCCTCCAGGCATTTGACCTCCGCGTGTCCCCACTCCAGAAGGGCCCCGCCCTAGAATTCCTCCCTGAGTGGGAGCTCTGTCCTAAGGCCAGAGCCGGCCGTGCACCCCTGGAGTCGCATAACTGCACTGGCTAACCTTAGCCAGAGCGGTCTTGGACCAAATATGCATAAACTCCATGACCTAACACCTTGGCCCCCTCCTTGTCACTCCATGAAGAGTAGGGACCTTATTCCATAAATTATAAAATCTCAGGGGCTGTTTAATGCCAGGGATATGGCAGGACATCAAATCACAAAACATCCTTGAGGCTGAAGCAAGCATTGTGGACCATACCCATGACCTTGTAACAAGGGTGGAAATTTAACCTTCACCCAGTGCTTGCTACCTGCCTTACAATGTAGTTGACACAGCAGTCCTATACACTATGTATACTGGGTTCATCATCCCCACTTTACAGGTGAATAGGTTGAAGTGGTCTGTAGCTTGCCCAAGTATCCAGAGTTAGGGAGGATTGGAACTGCAGAGCTACCAGGGGCTCTTTGCACCCATGGATCTCAGTTCCCTCAGGCATTTGGTGAGGGAGTCTGACCAGGTGATGGCCACGGAGCTGCTCTGTGAGTGAGGTAAAAGTGGCCCTTGAAGCAGGGCTGGGATACCAGGACCAGAGCAGAGGCAGAGCAGAAGTCAGTACCTTGGACAGCGCCAAGGGAAGTGAGCCAAACTAGCCCTGCCCCAATTTCTCTTTCTAGGCTTCTACAGAGGCTACCTTCCGCTTTCCTTAGCATTTCTTCCTCCCCAAGTTGGACGGTTTGCATGAGCAGAGCTCATCTGAGCATCTCCACGCTCCCCAAAAATTATCCAAAAGATGGGGTAGCCCCTAAGAGCCCACTCAGCAGGTGTCTCACTTGCCATCACAGACATCCTCTAAATCACGCGATTCTGGCTTCTGCCCTTCTTTGACTCAGCTCAGGTTTCTGAATAAGCATTTTTACTCTTTTTCCTTTTTTCCCCTTAGTCATTTGTGTTTTCCTTGTACTCTGTGCCAATACAGACGATCCGCTGACAACTACATCTGGGAATAAGTTAAAAGCTGGGATAACTTTGCCTGGCATTTACCAAGGGGTTCAAGGCCCTGTCTGGCCACATGCCCTTCAGCCCCTGTCTCTGATTAAAGGGTGATCTAGTCCCCAAGACACATGGCTTGGGAGCAGCCCTGGCGGGAGGAGCACCCACTTCCCAGTCCGTCAGTTGGCTCCAGGTCAAGCTCTGAGCTCATGCCCCATTTCCAGTGCCTGGGCATTCCTGTAGTTCTGAGTTTCTATCCCGGCCTTGTGTTCCAGTTTAGGCAACTGGGTCCCCTGGAGTGCTGCCTTAGAATCCCTGTTCCTCAAAAGCTGGAGTCCATCCTCTTATTTTAATTGCTGCTCATTCCTTCAACAGTGTGTGGGAGGGCATACTCCATGCTGGCCAGTGTCCTAGGAGCTGGGGATACAGGAGTGAATCCACCAGACCCAAACTGCTGCCTTGTAGAATTGACATTCTAGTGGAGAAATGGAGACAATAAGCAGGAGTAATAATAATATGACCACATCTTAATATGTCAGTTCATGAAACATGCCCCCAGGGACAGTACAACTGGAAATCCTGAGATTGCAAGGTGGGGCTGTAGTCTGCAATAAGGAGGTCAGGGAAGGATACAGGGAGGCAACTTCTCAGCAAAGCCTCAAGGGAAGTAAGAAAAACAAGAAATAGTGTTCCAAGAGAGGGAACAGCAAGTGGCAGAGGCTCAGGGACAGGGGTGTGACTGGCACGTTCAAGGAACAGTCAGAAGCCAGTATGGCTGCAACAGAGTGAGCCATGGAAAAAGCAGTAGGACCCAAGGTCAAGGGCAGAAAAGATGTGCAGGGCCTAGGTGCTGTGAAGACTTTGGCTATCCATGATGAAGTGGGGAACCATGGGAGGTACTGAACAGAGCAGTGCATGATCTGAACTGTTTGAACAAGATCCCTCTGGTGGCCGAGTGGAGACCATCAGTGAGAAGACACAGCAGAATCAGGCTTACAGGATAGGAAGCTATTACAACAAGCCAGGTTTGGTGGCAGGGAGCAGGCCATGCATGCATTTATGAATATGTCAAAATGAATGCCCATTAGGTAAAACTATAATGCACTAATTTTTTAAAAAAGAAAAAGAACCACAGGATACAAGCAGAGGAGAGGGTTAGAAGTGACCTGAATTCTAATTGTTCTTATTATTAATGAGAATGAGATGCACTGACCAAGTCCTAGGACTGTGGAAACACTTGACTGAGCTCATCTAAGAGATGCAGCGGAGACCAAGAAAGCACATGCTCAAGGTCACACCTACAGAACAGGATAAATCACCAATGTCAGGCCAAGTCCACATGGCTTTAACTTCTCATGTTCTTCCCATCACCCTACCTTCTTTTTCCTATGCACCCCAACCTGTGTTGAGAAGTCCATCTCTAGACCCCAGCTCAGAGGCAGGAAAAGTACTGAGAGATGGTGCCCACTTGCTTCACAGGGACTTGGGAGCTCCATGGTCCATTTGCCTGCCTGTCACAGGACAATCATCCCTCTCAGTAGTATCCTGTTGCCCAGAAGCAAAGCAGCCCACACTCTCCATGGTCCCATTGTCTGCTCTCTCTCATTCCTGGGCTGGGCCTTCTGCCATCTCATTGGGCTGCTTAGATCTGCCCCTGCTACTGCCTCGTCCCAGCCCATTCCCTGTTCATCCACACCTGACTCTACTAACTCCCAACAGCAGCGAGGCCTTCTGTTACACATTTTTTCTTTAAAAAATTATAAACCATCTTGGCAAACATCTCCCATCTATTTCTTATTCGTGTTTCCATTGAAATGTTTCTTTCAGTCAAGCAGCTCAGTTTAAAAAAAAATGCATTGTTTTCCATTTCTTCTTTTTTAATGGATAAGTTACAAATGATAGCTCTAAAAAAAGATTAGCTGAATGAATCTAAGTAGCTTTTTTTCTTTACCCAAAGCATATTTCTTAAACTGAAAAAAAAAATGGGTTTCAGGCATTAATGTGGTCTGGTGCTATGTTCGAGTAATAACAGCCATCATTTATTATAATAAACACCCACCTACTCTGGGCCTGACACCTTGGTAGTCATCATCTTCATCTTCATGACTGCCTGAAAAATGGGTGTTAAGATTCCAGTTTTATATATTAAGAGTCTAAGGTCCAGGCTGGTGAAATGTTGTGCCTAATGATATTCAGCAGAGGTGGTCATAGGGCCCAAACCCTCTACTCTACTGTCCCGTCTTGAGGGTGCCCTTAGATGACTATGGAGGAAAGTCTGAAAGAGGCAAAGAACACCGGCACAGTGATGCACACTGGTAATCCTAGCTACTCTGGAGGCTGAGGAAGGAGGCTTATAAATTCAAGGCCAGCCTGGGCAACTTAGAGAGACTATCTCAAAATCTACAAGGGGCTGGGGATGGAGCTCAGTGGTAGAGTGTCCCTGAGTTCCATCCCTGGTACTGAAAAAAAAGGTAAAGGGCATCACTGAAGATGAACACCAACAGGTAGGGAGGAGAGTTGGCCAGGGTCCCCCATGAATGAAAGGTGGCCGAGGCCTCTTCCAGGTCATGCCATGGCCTACCTCCTCAATAACGCGTGTATCAGTCCATCCTCAATGGCAGAGTCCTCGTGGCCTAATCACCCTGTATTAGGCCCCATCTCCCAAAACTGGGGACTATTTCCCACACATGCTTTGGAGGCGATTCATTTAAACCACAGCATCTGGACAGATCCTAAAGGGATGCAGATGGGAATTTAGATCACAATCAGGTGGCCTCTAGAAGGACCCAGACTGGCAAAGAGGCCAAAAGCCCCTAGCACTTAGAAATCTCAAAAACAATTTCTAGATCTTTGGCAAAGGGTACCATGGATGGACAAAAGGCATGTTTTTGGAATGGAGCCTTTGAGAGGGGAAAGGCTTATAAAATCGCTGGTCCAACCACCTGTCCAACACGAGTCCCCCTTGTCTTTAGAATCAGTGGTGAGTTTTAGAGTAGACAGTCCTAGGTTCAAATCCTGACTTACCAACTATTAGTGGTGCAACTTCGGGTCAGTCACTTCACCTCCTGGGCTGCAATTTCCTCATCGGTAAAAATGAGGATGAGGATGATGGCTCTTTCATAGTGTTATTGTGAGGATTAAATAATAACCACTAAATCTGTGGGCACTACAGGTGCCAACCACTATTTCAAATACTTTGCATGTAGTTAATTCTCTTACTAAGTAAGACGATGCACAGGAAGCATTTAACATAGTCCTAAGCATGGATTAAGCAGGCAATAAATAATAACAATATTGCCACCAAAGATGGCAGGATCAGCACCTGCTGAGGAGCCCAGTCCATTACAAGATTGATGAGGCGTCTGTACAGGTTTATCTTAGGCTTCACC